TTATGATGCAGGGATGGAGATTTGGGGGATGGGTGTGGGTGGGAAGGAAGAGGAGGGAGGAGGAAGGAAGAGAGAGAGAGAGAGAATTACTCCCACCTCCTCGCTTCAATCCTGCCCCCCACCCACACCCCCCCCATGAGGGTCGTAAACCACCACGTCACTCAGCTTGCCCCACCTGACGACCCTCTCCTGACACCCAAAGTCCTCACGACCCCCTCCTGACGACGCCTCCTTGCTGACGACCCCCCGTGACACCTTAGATCTCACGACCTCCTTAACTCAACGACCTCCTCCTCCTACTCCTCCTCCTCCTCCTTCCTTCAGACGATTCTCCCTTCCTCTTGCCGATGTCACTTACCTCCTCTTCTCTTTTACTTCCTTACTTCCATTCCACTTTCCTATATATTTATCTATCTCTCATTCGCCCTCTGTCTAATTGTCTACCTGTCTCTCTCATTCACCTTCTGTCTGTCTCTCTTCCTGTCTGTCTGTCTGTCTCAATCACCCATCTGTACGTGATTCCTCAGACAATACTTACGATAGATTTTAATCCCCTCAAGATACCGGAATTCTGAAACGATCGTAAAATAGAAGCAGGTTGAGGCTCCCCCCCCTCCCTCTCTCCACCGCGCCCCCTCCTCTCTCTCCCTCCACCGCGCTCCCCCCCTCCCTCTCTCCACCGCGCTCCCCCTCCTCTCCACCGCGCCCCCCCTACCAGGCTGAAAACTTACGACAGCATCAGGAAGCCAGCGGAGGGTGGCACTATGTCACTGGGTGGTGGAGGAAGAGGAAGGGAATGAAGGCTATGGTGAGACCAGGTATGTGGGTGGGGAGGTTGGCAAGGTGGAATGGAGGAGATTGGGAGAGGTGGGGATGGAGTAAGGGGGGGAAGGAGGAGAGGTCAGAATAGGAGAGAGAGAGAGAGAGAGAGAGAGATATATAAACAACCACCGCGAAGACCCACAATAGGTCTTTCAAAGTCGAGGGTTTGTTCTCCTTACAAACACCTTTTATTCTTTCCCTTAAGACGGCACAACAGGTGTTAATAGGGACGGGTGGTATCTTTCTATCTATGTCTGTCTGTTTTTTCTCTATCTATCTGTCTCTTTTATATCTCTTTCTCTGTCTCTCCCTCTCAATACCCCATGTACCTATCTGTCTCTGTCTGTCTGTCTGTCTCTCTGTCTGTCTAAAGTGGGTATCATGATGTAGATGTAGGAGGATGTGAGTGGAAGTGGGAAGGAGGATGTGGAAGGGAAGGAGGATGTGGAAGGGAAGGAGGATGTGGAAGGGAAGGAGGATGTGGAAGGGAAGGAGGGAATGACGGAGGTGAAGGATGGCTGTGGAAGGAAGGTTATGGAGGGGAGGGTGTGAAGGGGAGGGTGTGGATGTGAAGGGGAGGGTGTGGATGTGGATGAAAGGTGTGGATAAGGACCAGGAGATGGAAGGGGTTGACTGGCTTTGTTCCAGGGGGGAAGCATCTAGTGTAGGAAGCTGGTTGTCATGGTAACCGGGGACGCTGATGCAGTCAGTTGCCAGAGGTCGCCGGCTGGGCTGTTTGATCCCCCCCTCCCCCCTCCCCCACCTTTCTCTGTCAACTTTTCTCCTGTGTCTTAATCTCCCCCTCTCTCTCTCTCTCACTCTCTCTCTCTCTCTCTCTCTCTCACGAAAAATAACAAACAAGTGACGGAAGAATTCGAACTGGTGTCTAATCTTTCCTCTCTTATGGGGGGAAAGGGGGGATAAAATGGAGACATGGGATGGGAGGAGATGGAGGTCAGGTCAGGTCAGGTCAGGTCAAATCAGGTCAAATCAGGTTACATATCATTACATAACTTGTCTTCTATCCCATTAAGGACCTCGCTCCCTGATCCCGTCTTAAAATATCCTAAAGACACACACACACATATATACAGTTCCTTTGACAATATGACGGGCGACCAACAGAGAGACTCACGGATCATTTATTTTGCTTCAGGAAATACACTACAGGTAAGAGAGGCTATGGCAGGCGAGTGTCAGAGGCAATCATTAATTTTTTTTCTATCTATGGGAAGTTAATAGTGTAGTGTGGTGTGGTGTGATGTCTTGGTGTGGTGTGGTGTGGTGTGGTGTGGTGTGGTGTGGTGTGGTGTGGTTTCTTGGTGTGGTGTAGTGTGGCATCTTGGTGTCAGATCTTTGGGGGTGTCACATTTTGGAGGGATATGACATCTTGGTGTTGTGACATCTTGGGTGGCGTGACATCTTGGGTGGTGTGATATCTTGGGTGGCGTGACATCTTGGGTGGTGTGACATCTTGGGTGGTGTGACATCTTAGTGGTGTGCCATTTTGGAGGGGGATGACATCTTGGAGGGGTATGACATCTTGGAGGGGTATGACATCTTGGAGGGGTATGACATCTTGGAGGGGTATGACATTTTGGAGGGGTATGACGTCTTGGAGGGGTATGACATCTTGGAGGGGTATGACATTTTGGAGGGGTATGACATCTTGGAGGGGTATGACGTCTTGGAGGGGTATGACATCTTGGAGGGGTATGAAATCTTAATGTATTGTTTTTCTGACTGTATGATCACAAATACTTCCTTAATTATAGCAGAAACAAAAGACGAAATTAAGAAACCAGGACCACTTAATATAATCTCAATATAATGCTATAATGAAGCCACCTATCCATTCCTTATAATTCACCTATGATATAAATGGTGATCTTTATAGTGATTTTTGTAATATTGATCTACACACACACACACACACACACACACACACACACACACACACACACACACACACACACACACACACACACACACACACACATACACACACACTACACAGACTATACCTTCATTTAAAACACAATTCGACATGCTAAATATTTCACAAACCAATTTAGTCTTTTAAGAGTTCTTCATAAATTCTCTTTCATCCAACTCAAAAGAAGAGCGAGAGAAGCGACAACACCAGAGTTTAATACAGTCACCCACCACAAAGGCACCCATTTTCTTTCATCTACCAATGGATTGTATTAAATATGTACACATTATACGGTATATATTTCAGCGCTATTCTACATTATACGGTATATATTTCAACGCTATTTTACATTATAAGGTATATATTTCAACGTTATTCTACATTATACGGTATACTTTTCAACGCTATTCTACATTATACAGTATATTTCAACGCTATTCTGCTGTACATTATACGGTACATATTTTTTTGCTATTTTACATTATACGGTATATATCAAAGTCACTTTACATTATACAATATGTCAGAGCCATTATACAATATATACATCGGTGTTATTTTTTTTCATTATTGAACAGGTAATTACAGGTGAAACGCTAACTAAAGGGATTTTTTTTTTAAATATAATAATGTAATCTATCAGGTACACTTGAAGGTTTTTGTGTGCGTGTGATGTAGCTTTGGGAGTGTAATTACATTTGGCGCGTTCTTTCCTCTGTGTAGGGTTGAGATGAGGGTGTTCAATTGGATGTTCAATGTGCAGGTGTTCAATTTGGAGGTGTTCAGTTTGGAGATGTTCAGTATGGAGGTGTTCAATGTGGAGTCGTTCAAATGGATGTTCAGTTTAGAGTCGTTCCATTGGGTGTTCAGTTTGGTGGTGTTTAATGAGGTGTTCAACTGTTCAATTTGGAGGTGTTCAGTTTGGAGGTGTTCAGTGTAGAGATGTTTAGATTGGAGGTGTTCAACTGGATGTTCAGTTTGGAGTCTTTCCATTAAGTGTTCAGTATAGAGATGATTAGTTTGGAGGTGTTCAACTGGGTGTTCAGTTTGGAAGTGTTCAATTTGGAGGGGTTTACATATATCCTCCTCCCTTTCTTCATTTTTCCATCCCTCCAAATCCTTCTCTAATTTTTCCACCTTTCTCTCTGTCTCTCTATTCACACCCCTCTCTTTGTCTTTCCACCCAATCTCTCTACCTCCTTCTCTCCTTCTCTCTCTCTCTCTCTCTCTCTCTCTCTCTCTCTCTCTCTCTCTCTCTCTCTCTCTCTCTACCACCCACCACATCACCTCAGGCTCAGATCATTAGTTCGCTACCTGTCGTTTTTGTCACGCGTCTTCACCCATTTTTCCCCAGCGTGGCGGAGTGCGGCGGCAAAGAAACGACTGATTAATGACATCCACACAAGCAACACGGGCCAAGTGAAATACCTAACCCACGCCAACAATACTGCTCTGAATATTATCTGGGATGCTGTTGTGGACTGTGGTATGAGGAAAGGAGGGGGTGGTCGTGGAAGGAGGGTGGGAAGGGGTGTGGATTTAGTGAAGGGGGGGAAGGGAAAGGGAGGATGGGAAGCAGGGTGTATTGAAGGTGTAAATCTCTCTCTCTCTCTCTCTCAAATCATAGGTGCCTGTATACGCCAACATATGCAGTATTGTGTTTCTCCTTCTCACTGATTTGATCTCTCACCTCTACAACGTCGATAAAACAGCACACCCATCTACCTGTTAGTGACTGCTTATTGCACCTTGTTGGTCTTTCTCGAGAATTAATAATAATAACAATAATAATAACGCCTCAGAATCTCTCTCTATAACTTCACATTAAAACATTACATATATAAAATTATTGCTTTCACAACCATCCACAACTCCAATTAATAGCCGCCAAACGTAATCAAGCGACTCGAGAAAAATCTAACATGTTATTCTCAAACTGTTCATACCTGTAACTTGAAAACTCAGGTAATCTACTTTTGTTATGACTTAGTTGAATATAATAATAACAACATCAAACCTTTCCGTCCCACACACACAAGATAAATAACAACGAAAAATATAATACAAGTAATGATTTGTATACCTGTATATTATGAAGAAAAAAACCAATAATATAATCAAGGGAATAATTTATATATCATCAGAGTAGCCATGACAACATTTCCCTCCTTCTCTTCACCGACAACAAAAACAAACAACAACAACAAACAAAGTGACAGGTATTAATTAATATGGCACTTACCTACGGCACCGCTGATACCATTGGCGGCATAGCGAATCCCAACGCCGTCCTCTCTCTTGAAGCGGATCTCAGGGGCTGGGTAACCCTCAGCACCACACCGTAACACCGCCTGGTCATCCTCTTGTACTTCTACGTCTGTACTTGTCTCCTCGTCCAGGATATTAGGCGGCACTGTAGAAGGGGGGAGGGGGGGCAGATGAGATGGTTTGGTTAGGTTAGGACTCGCATACATAAACACAGTTAAGAATAAAATATGCATACACACACACAGCCAACAACATTACACACACACACAGAATCAATCAACAACGAAAACAACATACAAAAACAACAGCCATCTCACACACACACACACACACACACACACACACACACACACACACACACACACACACACACACACACACACACGCGCTGAGAAATTGGCGCAATAAAATATTCTTTTTCTTTTGCGAGCGAAACCGTGTGTGTGTGTGTGTGTGTGTGTGATTCTTCTCTCTCTCTCTCTCTCTCTCTCTCTCTCTCTCTCTCTCTCACACACACAACTAGCAGCAGTCATTTGGTAGATGTGTAGCTAAAAGGTTTTCATCTTATATTATGTATATAAAAAACAATTGTATACCTTTTACATTATGTCTCTGTCTGCCTGTCTGTCTGTCTGTCTGCCTGCCTGTCTGTCTGTCTAAAAATATAGAGAGACGGACAACTAACTGGACACAAGGTAAACTTAGATAACACTCAGTTAAATTCGTTTAGGTTTTCATCAATTTAAGTTCGATTAGATTAAGTCTTGCCAAGGTTGTGTTTAGGTTAGGTTAGGGAAGGTTAGGTTAGGTTAGGGAAGGTTAGGTTAGGTTAGGGAAGGCTAGGTTAGGAAGGTTAGGTTAGGTTAGGAAGAAGTTAGGTTAGGGAAGGTTAGGTTAGGTTAGGGAAGGTAAGGGTTAGGGAAGGTTAGGTTAGGGAAGGTTAGGTTAGGGAAGGTTAGGTTAGGGAAGGTTAGGTTAGGGAAGATTAGGTTAGGGAAGATTAGGTTAGGTTAGGTTAGGTTAGGGAAGATTAGGTTAGGGAAGATTAGGTTAGGGAAGGTTAGGTTAGGGAAGATTAGGTTAGGTTAGGTTAGGGAAGATTAGGTTAGGTAGCATTTAGATTAGGATAGGTTAGGTTTGGTTAGGGAAGGGAAGGTTAGGGAAGGTTAGGGAGGAAAGGGGCGATGGTACAGCATAACTAAGGCGGTACGGTACAGCATAAGTAAGGCGGTACGGTACAGCATAACTAAGGCGGTACGGTACAGCATAACTAAGGCGGTACGGTACAGTGTAAAGAGGGACAGCTACACATCAGTTTGCAAAGGTAACGAAAGTTCTCCCTTTAAGGCGAGAGTTTGTAATAATTCATGTACTCTTTCGTCTGGTAATGCTTAGTGAAGGCCTCCCTCCCTCCCTCCCTCCCTCCCTCCCCTTCTGCACTCTCCCTCCCTCCCTCCCTCCCTCCCTCCCTCCCTCCTCCCCCCTGCACTCTCCTCCCTCCCCTTCTTCCCTCCCCTGTACTCTCCCTCCCTCCCTCCCTTCCTCCCTCTCCCCTGCAATTCTCCCTCCCTCCCTTCTTCCCTCCCCCTGCACTCTCCTCCCTCCCTCCCTCCCTCCCTCCTCCCTCCCTCCTCCTCCCTCCCTTCTTCCTTCCCCGTACTCTCTCCTCCCTCCTTCTTCTCCCCGTACTCTCCCTCCCTCCCTCCCTCCCCTCGTCCCTCCCTCCCTCCCTTCCTCCCTCCCTCGTGGCAGCCTCTCCTCCTCCCTTCTTCCTCCCTGTAATTTTTCCCTTCCCTTCCCCTTCTTCTCCTCCCTTGCTCTTCTCCTCTCCCTCTCCCTTCCATAGACTTCCCCTCTCTCCCTCCTTTCAGGATCCTTTTTCCTTTCACATTCCTCCATTCACCCTCCCTCCCTCACACCAGAACCCTCTTTTGCCTCAATTATTCATACCATGAGTTTGCATTACTTGAGGAGGGAGGGAGGGAGGGAGAGAGGGAAGGAGGGAGGAGGATGTAAGTAATGGAGGGACAGAGGGAGGGAAGGAGGTAGAGAGGGAGGGAAGGAGGGAAGGACGGAGGGAAGGAGGGAGGAGGATGTAAGTAATGGAGGGACAGAGGGAGGGAAGGAGGTAGAGAGGGAGGGAAGGAGGGAAGGACGGAGGGAGGGAGGGCAGGTGGATGGCAGAGTGATATATATTATGCAGTAGTAAGAACATACACAAATACACATACATACATACATAAATACAAGATCACACATGCAACATCTTCAGGACACTGAGAGCCGCATTACTTCAACCCTCGTTATATTTTGACCTTGTGATATGTTTAACGTTGTGATATTTTGACCCCCGTGATATTTTGACCCCATTGATATTTTGACCCCCGTGATATTTTGACCCCCGTGATATTTTGACCCCCGTGATATTTTGGACCCCGTGACATTTTGACCCCCGTGATATTTTGAACCCCATGATATTTTGACCCCCATCATATTTTGACCCCCATCATATTTTGACCCCCATCATATTTTAACCCCCGAGTAACATTTTAACCCCCATAACGTTCCAACCCCTGTAAAATAACTTCACGCATAAAATTCAAGCCCCCATAGCATTCCAACCTTCTATAAAATCCAGACACTCATAATATACCAACTCCTGTAAAATTTGGACCCCCATCACATTCCTATCCCCATAATCTTTCCACCTCATAAAATCTTAATCCCTTTTCCACATCATTATACTTCCCACCATAAGACACCCTAAACTCCATTACATACAACCTCCTGTCCCATCCCAACCCCCATCATAATCCAACACCCCATTATATTCCAACCCCCGTCAAATCTCAACCCCCCCCGTTACATTTTCACCCCCACCCCCTACCATCCCATCTCCTGCCACACACAACACGCTGGAGACGACCCGGGAGGTGATGGTGGTGGGACGGGTGACACCACAGCAGGAGGGGCGAGGCAATAAAGTTCCTCACATCTATCTCTTGGTGGACCACAAAAAAATACGCTTACTCAGGATTGCCGAGGACCCGGAAAACAAGACAAGAATCACTTTTACGAAATTTAACAATAGAAAGGTTATGTTGTGTGTGTGTGTGTGAGTGTGTGTGTGTGTGTGTGTGTGTGTGTGTGTGTGTGTGTGTGTGTGTGTGTGTTGATAAATTTAACTTATTTTATCATTGGGTTGTTAGTATGTTCATAACTAAAGAATAGGGTAGTTATCTCGAGGTTGTAAGTGTGTTGAAAATTTAACTATATAGACTAAGTTAAGGTTGTGAGTTTGTTGATGAGTTAATATTTAACATCTATGAGGTTTGAGTGTGTTGATCCCCCTCCTTGAGGAATACGGGCTTGAGGGAGGGAAGGAGGAGGGGAGGGGAGGGGAGGGGGAGGGGAGTAACACAAGCATAACACCCGCTGTTCAGAACTTCAATTTAGAGACGTATTGGCCGGGGTCCCTTGGGGAGGAGGGGCGGGGGAAATGGGGTGAGAGACGGTGGCGGGGTGAGGTCGGGTGAGGGGTGGGCAGGTGAGGGGTGGGGCAGAGTGAGGGGCGAGACGGGGTGAGGGGCGGGGCAGATCATGAAGGGAGGGGGTGAGGTTTACTGCCCCGGTTTCTTTCGTGTTTATGGTAATTTTAACACCGGGGAGCTAGGCGGAGGGGGGAGGTGTGGGGGGAGGGGGGTAGATCCATGGTTTTTCCCTCATGTGTTCCTTATGTGTGGTTGCGTTTCTCATATCTCTCTCTCTGTCTCTCTCAATGTTGGGACAGATCCAGTGCGTCTCTCAATTGCTAGAGGCTGACTTAGTACGTTCTTCCCCCAAAAATCTCCCCCATTTTACTATCCTCTCCCCATCTCCCCATTCCTCCACCCTCTTCCCAATCCCCCAGTCCTCCACACTTCTTCTCATTCCTCCACCCTCTTCTCCCCATACCTTCCACATCCTCCCTCCCTCACCTATCCCCCCAACCCTCTCCACTTTATGATAACACTCACCTACGACCTCCAGATAACCCTGCCTGGAGATAGGGGGGACAGTGTTGATCTGACAGAGGTAGTAGCCACGGTCAGCCAGGATCACGGTGTCCAGGTGCAGGAACCAGGTGCTGTTGTCGCTGTGGCTCACCCTGATGCGGTAGTTGCGGGAGATCATCGTGTTGGAGATGCTGAGGAGAGTCTGTGTGTCTGACTTCATCCACGCGATCTGTGCAGGGACATAAGGTAGAGGTGTTAGGGCATATAGGGTGTTAGGGGGCAAGATACAGGTGTTAGGACATAGGGAGACTTATATTAGGACATACGGGAGATAATAGGACATGGTACAGACAACTGGATGCTTCATGGGGAAACGTGTGAATTGATGGAACTGTTCAGTGGAGCCTACATGTTCCTCCCCCCTCTCCTCACTTCACCTCACCTCCACCATCCACCCCCAACCATTCCCATTATTCCTTCTACCATCACCATCACTTCACTACCACCATCACTTCACTACCACCACCATCACTCACCACCACCACCACCATCACCACCCCACCTTCACATCCAATTATCCGACGGCTGATGCAACATGAAAGCTTCGAGACGAGTTTTTGACGCCGAGAGTGTAAAAAAAAAAAAGTAAAAAAAAAGTAAAATAAAATATAGTCGTGGAAAAATAGATTTATATATAGAAAAAGTCAGCTGCTTAACTTTACTACAGCGACACCTTGAAAAATTCGCTGCCTCATTAAGGAAGGTTGAGGGGATATAATACTGTACAGGTGATGATGGTGACTTGTTGTGATGGTGATGGTGACTTGTTGTGATGGGTGTCTGGTGGTGATGGCGACTTGTTATGATGGGTGTCTGGTGGTGATGGTGACTTGTTATGATGGGTGTCTGGTGGTGATGGTGACTTGTTGTGATGGTGGTGATGGTGAGGAAAATGACGACGACAAAGACAACGACGAAGTAGAAGACGAAGAAGACGAGGAAGACGACGAAGATAAAGACAACAACGAAAAGGAAGGCAAAGAGGACGAGGAAGACGACATAGATGAAGACAACGACACTGACGAAGACGGCGAAGAGGACTAGCAAGAAGACGAAGACGAAGACAACGACGAAAAGGAAGACGAATAGGACGAGGAAGACGACATAGATGAAGACAACGACGAAGATGAAGACAGCGAAGAGGACTAGCAAGAAGACGAAGACGAAGACAACGACGAAAAGGAAGACGAATAGGACGAGGAAGACGACATAGATGAAGACAACGATACTGACGAAGACAGCGAAGAGGACGAGGAAAAAGACGAAGACGATGACAGAGAACTGACTAACACAAAAACAGCACGCCGACTTTAATGGCCGCTGGTTTAACTCTATAACTCCGAGGCTTCATTACACCATTAACGAAGCAAAAAGACCACCTAGTGTTTATGTGCTGATGACTTCCTGTGGCCTCTGATGACCTCCCATGGCCTCTTGTGATCTCTTGAGACTTCTTGTGACCTTCTGAGACCTCTGATTACCTGTTGTTATCCCCTGGATGACCTCCTGTGACTCCCGGTGACCTCCTAAGACCTCTTGCGGCCTCCTGTTACACATTGATGACCTCCTGTAACCTCAGATGACCCCCTGTTTACCCTCTCTTATGACCTCCTGTGGCTTCTGATGACCCCCTGTTATCGTCCGATGACCTCCTGTATCCTCTAGACCTCCTGAGACCTCTTGTCACCTCCAGTGAAATCTTGTGACCTCTTTTGACCTCCTAGGACCCCCTGACCCCTTAATGACCTCCTTTGACTTCCTGTGAGACCAAGTTTGTGGCGCCTCACTGTCTCCAACTAGTCTTGAGAGTGATGGAGGAGGAGGGGGAGGAGGGGAGGGAGGGGAGGAGGAGGAGGAGGGGAGGAGGGAGGAGGAGGAGGAGGAGGAGGAGGAGGAGGAGGAGGAGGAGGAGGAGGAGGAGGAGGAGGAGGAGGGGAGGAGGAGGAGGAGGAGGAGGAGGAGGAGGAGGAGGAGGAGGGGAGGGAGGAGGAGGGGGAGGGGAGGGGAGGGAGGAGGGGAGGGAGGAGGAGGGAGGAGGGAGGGGAGGAGGGGGAGGAGAGGAGGAGGAGGAGGAGGAGGAGGAGGAGGAGGGAGGAGGAGGAGGAGGAGGAGGAGGAGGAGGAGGGAGGAGGAGGAGGAGGAGGGAGGAGGAGGAGGAGGAGGAGGAGGAGGAGGAGGGAGGAGGAGGAGGAGGAGGAGATGCTTTTTTATTTACATCCTAAGGCATCTTTTTATTTTCCTTTTTTTTATCTTTTTTTTTTTTTATTCAATTTCTCTTTATTCATTCTTTCTTTCTTTCTTCATCCTTTTCTCTCTTCTTCTTCTCCCTTAAACATCCTCTTCCTCTCCTCCGTCACTTCTACCACCTTTTCTCTTACCCTAACCCCTGTCCTCCTCCTCCCTCCCCTTCTCTCTCCCTCCCTCACCCTCCTCCTCTCCTCCTCCCCACAGCGTCAGTAAACGTTAATGCTCCGCCGTAAAAACTGCACCGAATTTCCCTATAGGCTTGGAGGGTCGGCCATCTTGTATCTACCCCCTCTCCCTCCCCCCTCCTCTCCCTCCCCCACCTCCTCCACACTGACTCCTGGCCCCTTTTTTTTCTTTCGGTTTTAGTGTTCTTTATGGTTCCAAGGTACCAATTGCTTGAGGTGTTGGGTTATTTAAAGATTCCAAGGTACCAATTGCTTGAGGTGTTGGGTTATTTAAAGGTTCCAAGGTACCAATTGTTTGAGGTGGCTGGTTCGACGGTTCCAAGGTAACACATTGTCTAGGTCAACTACATGGTGATTCTACGGTTCCAATGGTTCTTTAAGGTTCCAACGTACCATTGCTTAAAGAAATACACCGTGTCTAGGTCAACTACATGGTGATTCTACGGTTCCAATGGTTCTTTAAGGTTCCAACGTACCATTGCTTAAAGAAATACACCGTGTATACTCTTCCGGTTCTTAGATTCCAAGGTAATACTGTAACAATAAGTACAGTGTATAGGTTAAAAAGAATCCTATTGTGTTATAGCCCACACGGCACTGAGAGAGAGAGAGAGAGAGAGAGAGAGAGAGTAATAAGGGGAATTGTCAACACTATGGAGCAATACAATACAGTAGAGGGGAAGTGTATTAAGAAACACCCCCTTCCCCTTCCCTTTCTCTCTTCCCTTCCCTTTTCCTCCTACCACATATAATCCCCCTTTTCTTTCCCCTCCCTCACTTCCTTCAAACCTCCCTTCCCTCTCCCTTTCCCCTTCCTTCATTACACCTTCCCTACTTTAACCATTCTCCCCCTTTCTTCCCTCCCTCAACCCTCTCTCTTCCCATCCATCACCCCTTACCTCCACTCACTCCCACTTAATGCCCCTTCCCCTCAACTTTCCCCTTACTCTCCCTCCTCCTTCACACACCAAACCAAACCCCTTAGAAACCAAAACCCTTTAGAAACCAAAACCCCTTAGAAACCAAAACCCCTTAGAAATCAAAACCCCTTAGAAACCAAAACCCCTTAGAAACCAAAACCCCTTAGAAACCAAAACCCCTTAGAAACCAAAACCCCTTAGAAACCAAAACCCCTTAGAAACCAAAACCCCTTAGAAACCAAAACCCCTTAGAAATCAAAACCCCTTAGAAACCAAAACCCCTTAGAAACCAAACCCTTTAGAAACCACACGCTACAAAAATAACCCCCATTAGAACACAAACACTCCCCCCCACCCACACACATACACACCTGTAGAAACCAATAAAGGAGCAACACTTACCTTATAATTACCAAGGTTCTCTACGGAACACCTGAGAGCGCCGTCCCTCCCCACCACCACAGTCTGGTTGGCCACACCCTCCGTGAACCCCGGGACTGAGGGCAAGGGTTGAGCTCTCTCCCAGATTGAGTGCGGTTGTCCTGGTGGCTGGCTGGATGTAC